GGATGTTACTGTTCTGTTTTGGTAAGTGTATATAAAGGAGAAGTGTCTTTCAAGCCAAGCGCAATTCCTGGTTTCTTCATGAATATGTCCAGGTCACTCAGCAATAACACAGTAGTAGTTTGCCATTGTTTTCTTCTGTAATATTTTGTCAATTACTTATAGCCTTCAGCTGTAGAATTGTCTAATGATCTACCAAAATACCAACCAGATCCAACCCTGCTCAGCTTAAAAGCTAGTGCACTGCAGGAAACATATGCCAATTACATATTTCTAAATCTGGCTTTAAATGCTTCTTTGACCCCATTCCACATCCTTCCCCCTAAATACATGCCAATATTCCCTTTGACCTACTTTTTTGACTGATTGATTGATTACGTGCCATCAAGTCAGTGCTGACCACATGGTTTTTCTCCAGGATAGTCTGTCCCCAACCAAGTCCTTCAGATGTTCCAATGGTCGACCCATCACCACTGTTATTGAATCCATCCACCTTGCTGCTGGTATCTCCAGTGTGCATTGCTCAAAAGCAGTTATACAAAAGAACTGAATAAATCTCCAGAGATTGTCCTCAAGTCTCTCCCAGGCATTGTGGATGTAAGCAAGGAACTCCTTTGGTTTTCCTAATTATTGTATTGTTAACCAAAGGTATCACTTCTGCTGACAAAATAGATTCTGGTCAACGAAAAATTATAATCCAGCAAATGTCAGTCTTTCATTCATATATATATGAATGTCATACTATTCATATATATATATTTGTCATACTATTCATAAAGCAAACCAAAACATTGGGATAAGGGGAACCATTTCCACTGCATTACAGAGAATGTGTATTTTCATGACATGCTAAACTTCTGTAGTTGGTTAATGGGCGTAGGCATGCTGCTATTCTTCATGCTACTTCCCTACAGAGTTCTTAAGCCATGGTTTATAAATTACCTACAGTTAAATGTGTCATCTGAACTTCAAGTAGCTGCCATTTCTGGTTAACATTGACTGGAATTAATGATTTTTGATTCCACTTGCTGCTAACCAAAAATGGTGGCCATTCAGCATTCAGATGACACAGCTGTAGAAAACTTAGGGACTGTGGTTAAACAGCTATGCAGGACAGGAAATAAATAGGAGGCATGTGGGGCGCCGTTATACATGCCAAAGACTAATACACTCAAAAAAATTTTAAACATTACATCATTCTAATCGAAACCGCATTTTATTGCTTCTTCTAGTCTGTGGGATCTTGCTAATGAATCCACAGATAATATATCTCTCATTGTACAAATGCTGCAAGGTATCCACACAGTCAAGCTGAACAAGCTGCGGTGAATTGCTTTGCAACAGTTCTTAGGCATTGCAAATTAAATCAGGAATCTCCTCCTTCACCTTACTACAGCATAGACAAGCTAGCAGACAGGCAGGTTATGATATAAATTGTTCTGCACCCTAAAGTGTTCTAAGGAAGACAGCCAGGCAACTACAGTGAGCCAGCCTTTCCATATCATTAAAATATTTCTGTTCCCCTATCATCCATCTAAAGAAAATCAGTGACATAGATCATCCGTTTCAACAGTTGCTTTTGGAATTATTCCATTTCTGTCTCTTTGAAGGAATTGTGTCCTTTGTGAGCTACCCAGAGTCTGATAAATAACAAAGGGATAGAAACTTTGTAAATAAATGCATAAATCATCATGCAGTTGCAGAGAATTCATATGAACATAACATGTTACAAGTGAAGCTTTATAGAATTCTGCTCAGTTCCATTGCATGGACAAATCTGCTGTCACAGGGGCTGGGTTCAGATATTCTGCTTTGCCATAATTGTTTAACCATGATTTTAAGTTGATTTTTGCACATTATGCTAAGGCATACACTTAGATTTGCAAACTACAGTGGTTCAGGTCACAGATCACATTAAGTCGAAACTGAACAACCCATATTATGGCTTAGTGTACCCAACCTTATATATAGTTTGTTTCCCACGTTGGAGAAAATGGACAAACTGAACAATCTGGACCAGAGCTAATGGAGTCACTCGGCCCCATCTACAGGAAATATTAGTGCAATTTTGGCACATCAGACTACAAGTATTTCTTGATTTAGATGCAGATGTGCACTCAGCACCTATATGTCTTATATATTCATAATGGTAGTATACAATGGTCTTTGAGAAGAGATTTTCAATTTTTCTGTGATTACAAGCTGGAAGATATATTCTTCTGGAAAAATTCAGAGAGAACCCATTGTAATAGTTTTCACATGGATGGACTCCAGTAATAATAACAACAATAATTGTTATACCCATTGCCAGTGTGCCAACCTTCAGGGAACCATTGCTGAGGCTGAGGATCGTGGCGAACTTGCCCTCAAGGATGCTAAACAAAAGCTGAGTGAATTGGAGGAAGCTCTACAGAGAGCCAAGCAAGAACTAGCCCGACAGCTGAAGGAATACCAGGAGCTCATGAATGTCAAGCTGTCCCTCGACATTGAGATTGCCACCTACAGGAAGTTGCTAGAAGGAGAAGAAATCAGGTCAGTTGGGAGAAACATAGCACTAATATAATGCTTTTAACTGATTGCTAAACTCATGGCTCATCTACCTATTTTCATCAGCCTTCGTTCTGACTTTCCTCAAATAAAAAAAGAGCATTCCCTCGGATGTTTCACCTGTACAGCTTGCACCTTGAAATGTAACAGTTATACTGATAAAGGCCTTTATAATAGTTCTTGGTGGTCTAACCACAGTATCTGAGGTCTTCTTTTTAAAAAAAATCTTGTTTGTGTATAGCAAGGTTAAACCAAACTGACCAGAATGCTCTTTTTCAGGACTAGTCTCACTGATTGGAGGATGTTGGAAACTGCATGTTTCTGCAATATTAAGAGCAATTTTTCTCCAAAAAGGAGACACATTGCTGTGATTCATTCTTTAATTTGGTTTGTAAGGCCCACAGAGCACAAATCTGGGGACACTTTTTTGGCCCATTCTTTTCATGTTGGGGAAATAAGATGGGAAATAAATGCATTAAGACTTTCATAGGCATCTGTAGCCAACCACAATGACCCCCCCCCAAAAAAGACGTACATGGGATGACCTCACAATGGAAACCCCGCCCTGCTGCACTTCTGTGCCAACATCTGACACCAATCAGTCAGTCGTGACGGTTGTGCTGTGATGTATGACGCATGTTTCATCATTTGCCCCTGACCCTGGGGACACATGTTGACTTTATATTTCTGCCATCACAACACCCCTTCTTATATTAAAACATGGTAATTTTACTGTAAGCTGAGGCATTAACTCCAATTATTATATTGTTTCTTAGGCTGGCAGAAGGTGTTGGAAATGTGAGCTATTGTAAGTATCATCTCTATTTATACATTTGTGTGCATATTTTTTAAAGGGACCCTGACATGAGTTTTTCTTTAGGAGTTACGGAAGGAGCTGAACTTTCTTTCTCCTCTGTTTTCCAGCTGTAGTCAGCAGCACCACTACCGCTGGATACGGCGGCGGAAGCGGCATTGCGTTGGGAGGAGGATTCAGTGGAGGATCTGCTGGAAGACTCGGAGGAGGATTTGGAGTTGGAGTCAGTGGTGGTGGTGGTGGTGGTGGCGGCGGCTATGTCATTAGCTCCGGCAGCAACTATGGTGGAAGTGGGTTTGGCTCCATGATCAGCTCTGGAGGTGGGAGTAGTTACGGTTCTGGAGGAGGTCGCCTTTCCTCAGGTGGAGGAGGAAGTTCCAGTGTGAAAATTGTATCAAAGACCAGTACA